AAAAAAAATTAAAAAAATACACACACAAATATGAAATTACATTGGTTTATATTTAACTATTTTTTCAGCTTATTTACTGTGAAACCTCTGCCTGGTTTTTTTTTTTTTTTTTACAATTTCTTCAATGTTTGTTTGTATTGGTGATAAGCAGATTCCTACATATTATTCAGGAGAGCGTAGTCTTTCTCACTTCATATTTTAATGTTATTGTTGTGATGAGATAACCCAACTTCCCCATTCTCGATAATGGACGGACTGGTTGCCGATAAAGTACGACCACAGCGGACAGTGAGAAAGAGAAAGGTCTTCGTTTGTTAACACCTATTGAGGTTAGCCTACTCCTGACTCTGTCTGTATTTTGACATACCTACATCCGATTATAAAATTATTATTGAAAAACCAACACTCGGGTTTACTTTGTTTATTATATCTTGCACGAGATATAACAGTTATTTAGGATTGAGAAGCTTAATTCATATAAATAAGGAGTAGAAAATTGCAATAAAACTGATAAAGCCTTTTTAGCTAATGTGGGATATTCCTTTTGGATTGAAATCCAAATGTATCAATGGGTACCGTCGAATGTTTTATTTTGAGCCCTCCATCACTAGAAATTCTTCAATTCTTCACATAACTGAAGTCCACTATTAGAAGGAACATTTGTGAAGGGATTTCGAATCCAAACATACTTTCCTGTGCTTAATGACGGAAAATAATAGTCGATGTTTTTTTGTCGAGCGCTTTCAGATCGGTAACCATAATAGGAATTATTTCTTTAATTCAAGTCGTACACACTGAAGGAAACATATCAAAATTACCCGACCTTGCTCTATTTTTTCAAATCACAATTTTCTTTTTGAGGGCAACTGACTTATCTGTCGAAGTAAGAACAGTTTCATTTTTATCTTGCATACTACTGTTCGTGTTATTTAATATTTCCGTTAACTATTCCAGTTTAGAGGTCCAAAATTCACAACAAAGATGTTCACAATTTTTTTCCTGCTTGTCTTGATAAAAAATGCTATAAATTCCTTGTGTAACTCGTGAATTAACACTATACCTTTCAACATCCATCAAATTTCAGTATGCAACAATAATCCAACATGTTGCTAGTCAATTTCTTTGCATAGTTGCATAATCTTGGATTCAATGATCCACTTTTCATATAACTGACCATTTCAACAACCTGGTGTAATATTTGCTATAAATCTTCTTGAGATATTTTTGAAACGAGAACATTTCTATGTCAAAAGCAATGAGTACGAATAAGATTTGGGTTTGCTTTTATCTACGAGGGATACAAATCCGTTAATATAGCCTGTCATAGATGGGACCCCATCGGCACAAATGTCAACACAAGACTTTCAAGTGAAATGCATTTCTTTAAGGTTGCTTATCATCATATCAAAAAATAACTTGACCTCTCGTAGTTATTGTCATTTCGCAAAAAAACCCCAAAAAAAAAAAAAAAAAAAAAAAAAAAAAAACGATTATTTCATCTCCATCAATAAAACGAACAAATACAGGAAAGTGACTTGGGTTAGTTGTACAAGAATAAAGTGTCGCTGCCGACACTTGAGTTTGAACACAGATCGCCAGTGAGCAAACACAGGCGATCCTATTATTGAATTAAGTAGAACACGTGACCATAGAGGAAACGCATAAGCAGAAATTAGCTTAGCGTCTAATGATCGCTATTTCTAGTCTATCCTCTATTACTATACGGATCGCTGTTCTCTATACTATTCACTATACTATTTTTTATTCGGATTACTATACGGAGTACTATTTGAGCTAGTATTATCAAGCAAGTGCTTTTAGTGTGAGTGTTGTTCGAAGGCGTCTGACACCAGGATTGTTTAACGGCGTATTAAAAGTTGTATCTGCAATTACAAAGTCTCTACTACAATGAGCATTGCGAAAGTGACAACGAGTATTCGTTGGCATCACAAAAGTGGCAACGAGTGTTCGTTGACATCACAAAAGTAACTGATATCAATTGGTTCATCAACGGTTAAAACAAAATTAGAATCCTTAAGGTTTTTTCTGAACATTTTCTTCCAGTATTTTTCGGTAAATCTAGAATTCTTCTACGTATTGTATCATTTGAAAGCGAGATTTTGTTCATTCTTTTTTTCATCCTTTTCACCAAACATGGATTTAATTATCTTTTTACAAGCGGGTAGGATGTCTGACTCAGCAATGGTGTGAAATTTCGATTTCAATGCTATTATTTCTGCCACCTCAACGGATACGAGTTGAACCCGTTCAAACACGGCTATTGTTCTCTCAAAATCATTTCGTTGCTTTTGATTTTTTGCTCCAACAGTCTTTGAAAAGAGTTAAGATCTTTATCTCAGTAGTGAAGTGTCTTTTTAACATACTTGATACCATGGATTCATTTGACATTTTTTCGCCAAAAACTATACATAATGGACTTGGTTGATCAACATCTTCTAAGAAAACTGAAACTTCAAATAATTATCGCAATACTGTCTATTATGGCGAACATTATTTTAACAACTGGGGTTTATTGGTTTCAATGAATATTCACTTTTAGACTCACACTTGTCACTGGTCTCCTTTCTTTTAAGAAATTTATCCATTGTAAAGGGATGTACAAAAAAACAGTTGACAGCCTATTAACACCTGAACTCTCTTTATTGCAGTCGGTGGCGTAATGGATAGTGGCTCGGATTGAGGAATCGGAGAACCGACTTCAATTTCTAGTCGAATCCATTACATTCACTTGCGTGCTAATACCCTTGGTAAAAGTATGAATCTCCTGAAGAAAACCGGACCGTACAACGACCGAAACGTTGTGAATATGGCAATAAAGATGAGGATAACAATCCGAATAATGTAAATAATGCAAGTAATCATAATACCTGTTCTCAAGTTGTCTGATTTTATACACGATGCGTAAGTATCTATGCATAAGCAATTAAGAGCTATGTAGCTGTCAAATACGCTTCTAAGATTTCCCAAATATTAGGCAAAAGTAGTGTTATTAATGAATTTGTATTGAACCTTTTATCACCAGCCGACTTACAACTCACACACGCAAAACACACACAAGGCTTTTCAGCTCTAGTGCGTTACTGAAACAAATCAATTACTCACTGTAGCATTGAATGGATTTGTGCACAGGAATTTGTTCCTCTTGGACAAACGTAGAATCATCCGTTTTAGTTTGAGGTGTTGAGAAGAACTGCAAGAATGAAAACGACCAAAAACATGGAGTAGCTTCCGTGTTTCTCATACAAAACAAAAGCACTTGAGTTTTATTTTGGCATTTTATTAAGCAGTCACTCTCAGTGAATCCTTACTTCGCTGATACGCCCGGACCGGAAGTGCCCGGTGTCCTTCAATTAACTTGCCCTATCAATCTTTGTACATTGCATTAGCTGTAACTGGACGCTTAATCATAGTAACGTTTCTGGTCACATGTTATTGAATGTCCAACAGTATTTCACCACAAACAACACCATTCACCCTGTTCCCGCGAACTGTGACTTTTTGTTCGCTCTTATGAAACATGTTCTGAAAGAGAACGTTTATAATGTGAAGGGAAAAAAATGGAGTCTCTAGACAAAAGATATGCTGAAAAATTTCAGAAATATTCCATGCAGCGGTAAAAACGTTTGCGGCAATTGGATTGAGGCAAGTGAAGATAGCTTTAAAAGAAACGAGAGTTTTAACAAAACATTTTTAAAAATAATTCCCGCTATTTCTGGTTATCCGTCTGTTGTAGCATACCTACGGACGATAAAGGGTATCTCCCCATTCCCATAAATACAGTAGTAAATACTGTATGTTGGTCTGCAGCTGAAGATTCTTCTCTAGCTGTGCTGGTCAAACTCTCTGCCCGAAGGCAGAGAGTATCCTCAGACGAGGCTATGTCGAAGGGCAGAGCCCCGTCTCGTGTAACAGCTACCCGACCCCGTTTTATACGAGGTCTACGGGGAATTTTTGGCCGAGCTTATGGGCTCGGATACACCACATTAAATTCGGCCTTGTGCTATATTTGACCTCGTGGGGCGGTTGGAAGATATCCTGTAATTGGAGATTCATGGTGGAATTCACTTGACTCACTTCTAGCAGTTGACTACTACTACTAGGTACCGCTGGCGAATCTTATATATGTTGTTCTTGTCCTAAGTATTATCGTTCATTACCAACCTTCGTTTGATTATTCTATTCAGTAACCTTCCCTAAGTTACAACACCCTCATATATGTTTTCTCCTTGAATTTCAACACTGGGAAACAGGATTTGAAACCAAAGTAGCGTATGTATTATGAAGCCGATTTGTTCATGAATTGAATGTTGAAAGAGTTTCTCGTCGAGGATTCGCCCCAAAATGTCTTCTACAGATTATTTGGGTTCGGTGAAAAAAAAAAAAAAAAAAGAAAAGAGAGTACACATTTTTTTTAAAAAAACGTTAATGAAAACGTTGTGCACTGCGGATGCAAATAAGGATGCACAAAAGTTCACAAATAATTTTACTTAAAAAAAAAGAAAGAAAAACAAAATAAATACTCAATTAAAAACAGGATTCAGGAAGACAGAAGATGGCGGCTTATGTTGCATTTAAATTTATGAACATCGTAGGTGGTAAGGTAGCAAGAAACCGGATGGAAATCCCACAGGTGAGAAGTGCGAGAAAAGAAACTATTAAAATAGAACTTACGGTTATATCTAGCTTTCAACAGTAAAAAAAAATGAAACCTAGTATTGATCGATTGATTCGTTTTCTACGGCTTATCAACCCTTTGCAGGTTATTTAAAGCCAGAAAATATTTTAAAACTCTAAGCTTTTTTTTTTGAGATAATGATCTACTAATACAAGTCGTACTAATTAACTCATAGCTGGGGGAGAAATGGTGGATTCATACCTTTCCCAATTGTATTTGCACGTAAGTGAATATAACGAACCCAAATGAAACTGGAACTCGACCTTCCAATTAACAATTCCGAGCAATCACCTGCACATCGAAG